ACTGACCCAACTCCTTTGACCACCACATCCTTTACAAAATCGCCACCAGCTACCAAACTGCCCACCATCAACATCACCCAACCATCACCCATCATAACCCAAGCAACCAAAAGGGAAAGAGAAAAGGGGCTTAGGAAGGCCGGTACCTCCCAAAAAACTTAATAGGATAAAAATATATTTTTTAAAATAATTGAGATAAAAGTATATATGCTAAAAAAAAGTTATAAAAACCCTTTTACCCTTATTATAAATAGTGCATACCTAATTGAATGTGAAACTTTCAAGATTATAATATGAGACTTCCAAGATTCTTTTTGATATTTATTTATCATTTGAATTTTGAAATTTTATATATATATAAACACACACACGTAATACAGTGACATCAAACAGTGACACGCTCAACAAAAAAATAGTAATATCAAACAGTAATACACTTAACAAAAAAATAGTAACGTCAAACAGTAACACACTCAACAAAAAAATAGTAACATCAAACAATAATACAAATATTTTTGTTAAGCGTATCACTGTTTGATGTTACTTTTTTTTTGCTGAGCGTGTCACTGTTTGTTGTTACTATTTTTTTGTTGAGCATGTCATTATTTGATGTCACTGTATTATGTGTGTGGTGTGTGCGTATATATATCTGTGTGTGCGTGTGTGTATATATATATATATATACTAGTCATAACCCGTGCCTGAAGGCACGATAGAACAAAAAATTTCAGTCCTAAAAAATCGATATCACTATATTAAATAATATTTTTTTTCTTTCATTTGTTTGAATAAATCATTCAAAATTTATTTTTTCCCATTATTTTCTTAAAGATATTGACAAAATTTTCTCAAAATATGTAATTTGATAATTTTTTTTAACAGATAAACACTCGTGTATGGATAATATTTGAAATAAAAATTATGTTAAATTATAAATTAATCAAATATTAAATAGTTGAGCATGCGATAATGATGTGACCATTTTGGGGGGTGAAAAATGTATATGAGATAAAATTTAATTTCCTGTGTGTTTTATTATATAGATTTGTATAAATATAAAAGAAAATTTCATTCTGATCCCCTGTAGTTAGGTCTAAATTCAATGTCACCTATTTCTGTTTTTGAAATTTCACTGTCACTCATTGTTAGTGATTGTCAGGTTACACAGTTAATATCGAAGGTTGATTTATAGAAATATCTCTGAGTATTTTATAGGGTAAATTTTATTTACACCCCTTATAAATAAACTTAACTTTAACAACACCCCCGATAAATAGACCTAACTTTAACAACACTCCTTCTTGATTATGAAATTTCAATACACTAACTTTTAGTTCTATTATATTAGCATTTATTTTGATCAATTAAATATTCAATTTTATCAAATTAATTTTTTTTATTTAATTTAAACTAAATTAACATTTCATCTCATCAAATCAACACAAAATTGATATTTAATTTTATTAAATTAGCATTTAGTTATATTAATTTAATATTTAATTTCATCAAATTAATATTATTTCTTTAATTTAATATTAAGTTATTATTTATTTTTATCAAATCAACATCAAATTGAAATTCAATTTTATTAAATTAAACTATTTAATTTATTAAATAGAATATTAAATTCCATTAATTTTAAATTTAACCTTATCAAATTAATGTCATTTCTTTAATTTAACACCAAATGAACATTTAGTTTTATTAAAACAACATTCAAATTTATTAACATTAAATTCAATAAATTTAATACTAAATTAATATTTAATTTTATCAAATTAAAACTAAATTAATATTTTAAGTTATCAAAATTAAGATAAAATTTATTCAATTAATATTAAATTTTATCAAATAATTTTAAATTTTATATATGAAGTATGATGTGTGAGGAACAGTCGGACGACGTTGTGGAAGACATATGATAGCAGAGGAATTAGAAATGGATGAGATTTTGACATTAACTTTATCAATTGTAATTTTTATTACAGAAAAATTACTTTTAACTATAAAAATTATTATGATAAAAAAATATAAAAATTATAAAAACTTGATTATGTAACCAAATAAGTGATAATATGATGACTAATATTATAACAAAGTTATAATACGACGTTTTAAAATAAAAAAATTCATTGGGTTAATATAATGATTGAAATTATATTTGCTGGCTGACTAATGCATATATAATGAGAAAACAATTGATGACATTTTAGTCTATTTACATAATAAAGAGTTTTAGTCTGCTGGTAGAGACAAAAGTTATTATTATAGGAGTTGTCATTGAATTTAGACTCAAATATATAGTGTTTAGATGAAACTTTTCCTAAGACATAACATGTAAATATAGTATGTTTTTAATCTTTGTACTATATATATATGTACAGTAAAGATGTGTGTGTAATATGAATAGTAAAGATGGAGAGCAGCTGCATTATGATAGAATTTTGGAGAGATAAGTGTCTTAGTTTGGAAAAAGAATCATGAAAGATGAGAGTGTGAGAGACAGTCAATGTCTAAGTATAGAAAGTGATCCCTTAACATAGGAAATAAAATTAGGAAAATAATGATAAGAGTTGTAATTTGTATTTTAGGGAGAGAGAGACAAAGTTAAGGAATGAGAAACCGCTTAATTGTCGGATTTAATTGGGTTGAGGAATTAAATTTAGGGATGTTAGTTTTGGAAACTAAAAGTTTTGAGCTGCAAAAATTTTCAAGAGCTAATATGGTAAGTCGGATCGAAACGATATGAGAGATCAATAGCTCGAGACAGTTTGAGATAACGTCGATCGTTGGATGATATCATTTTTAGTCATGAATCGATCTCAACCGCTCTTTGTCTCCAAAATTCAAATTCGTTCTAATTTATTATATAGATATATATATGTGTGTGTGTGTGTGTGTTTATATATATATATATATATATATATATATATATATATATATA